GGTTGTAACTGTTGCACCCTTTACTCATGTTCAAGTGTCCGATGTTGACTTTCGTTAACGGATAGGAGCTTATGATAAATAATCTGGATCAAGGTGAGTTTCCTTGTACCTTTTAACTGAAATGCATGTCTATACTAACTACTAGTGTTGTTCATCGTCAGTTGTGAATATATGCACACTAATTTTCTATGTCTTTATTCACTTATGAATAGAGTTCACTCACTAACACAGTTCACTTACGAACAAGTTTTCAGTAATGCACACATTCATTGTTCGCTAATGAACATCGTTTCTTTTATGAACCTGTTCAAGTCGAATCCCCATATTTCTCTCTCGGTAAACTTATTCATTGAAAAAGATGATATAATTATCACCCCTAAAATCATGCAACTCTTTTTCGTAACATCCCATTAAATTCATTAGTTATAAAATAACTAAAAAGTCTCTTTGATCTCTTTCCCAAAGTTACCTGTGTTCATTGTTGTTGATAGGAATCGGTTTCAATCTTATTACAAAATTACCATCGATCAATTTCATCGTAGGTTAGACAAATTAAAGGGCTAAGATTGATTCACATAGTTAACATCAAATATTGGATTAAAATTGAATAAGCCCGTATATATAGTATTTTAATAATATAATAAAAAGTATAATTAAAGTTTTTTTTTCTCTCTAAGTTATGGAGAAATTATGGAAAAGTCGAAAATGTAACTTTTGACTTAAATCCCTTAATACATTATAATTTAGAGTGGGTTATGGATTGGATTCTTTGTTTTGGTAAAAAATACGATTATAGTCCTCAATCTACATTTATCGCGGATTTAGTTTCAGTAGTATTCAATCTGTTACAATCGATCATTATTCAGCTGTATAATGACGTTGGACTGTTAAATGAGAACATCGCTCCTTCACATGGGCAATTTAGACTTTTATCCTTCGTCTTTTTGCCCGACATCATCTGATTATAGACAATTTTTTGCTCCAACAAATTCTTCAAAACTTTCTCCAAAGTGGAGAAAGTATGAGAGAGTGTAAATTTCTATAAATTTGGTAAATTCTCCAAAAATGATTACTGTGATGAATAAATGATTCTTTTTATCATATTCCATCAATAAGAAACCTTGAAATGATATTTTATTAAATGTATGGAATATTTTAATAACATAATTAATGATGTAATCTTCAAAAGGGAAAATTTGTTGCAGTTGAATGTAATTTTTTAGTGATTTTGAACTTTGATTCTCCATTTTGGAAAAAATTTAGAGAATTTGTTGGAGATGCTCTAAGGTGGCTTCGCCTTTACATGTATGTATGTATGTATGTATATATGTGTGTGTATATGTGTGTACATACATACATACATACATACATACATACATACATACCTACATACATACATACATACATACATACATACATACATACATACATACAGGTGGAGGTTCAAACGAGAACATATCTATTTTACGAGAACACAAGAACACTCTTATCACATGTGATAATACGCGTGAGGGGCCCTATGATATGCGGACGACGTGTTCTACGACTTAGGTCGCGCCAAAGGTTGTCTGCGTCTATAATTTAGCATCACATGTGATGGTCTTGATGGATTATAGTATCATATCAACAACACTCTTATCACATGTGATAATACTTGTGAAGGTGCTTAGTGGTGTAAAAGCGACTTGGCCTGCAATCAAGATCGCATTGAGAAACGGCCGCGTCTTTGATTTAGTATCACATGTGTATCATATGTGATGAAATAATAGTATCACATATGATTGTCTAGAATAAAAGGGTGTTTTCGCGTTCTCGTAAAATAAAAGTGTTCTCGTTTGAGTTCTTCCCTATATAAACATATATGTACATATATAAATATGTGTGTGTATATTGTATATGTGTATATATATATATATATATATATGTATATGTATAAATAAAGGATCATATGAGAATAAGAATATTAAGAACACTTTTGAGATTCTAAATGAGTTGACTTTTTATTATAACCTTCAATTAGATTCAACTACATTCTTCCAACTTTATTTTTCAAATTTATCATCACTTTTAAGTAATTTTCATTAACTTTTACATATATTTAATCACTTGCACACGATGAATTTGTTAAACTTTTGGTCACGATGATATAAATAAATAAATAAATAAAGGTTGTTGAATGTAGATGAATGTATATGAAGGTTTTGTTCTTACATTCTCATTATAACTTTTATTACTATCGAAACCTAAAAATTTTATCTTTAAAAAGTTAGTAAAATGAGCAAAATGCTCGTGTTAAACGATTGAATGAAATTTTTTTAACTGCAACGGTAGAACCAAGGGTGTTTAAAAGATGTAGAGCACATTTCTATACACTAGAAGGGTATTCGCGCAATGCAACGAGATAAATCTTTATTTTAATGTTTAGTTTTTATTATTTTGTCTCTATCGATGTAATACGATTTTATATGGTTTTGAGAAAGGGGTAATGTTTTTTATTTTTTAATAAAATATAAATTTAAACATAACATAAAAATTTGAAAAAAATAAAATCGATATTAGCATCAAATTAACTATTTAATAGTTCTCAGTTTTTTGGTGTAACTTTTTTAATTCAATTTTTTATTATAATTTAATTTAGATTTAATAACAAAATAATTTATTTTTGATTTGATAATATAATTTTTTATCAAGATAATAATTAAACATTCTATTAGAACTCAATGATTATCTTAATTATATTTTAAATATTTAATATTTAAAATTGAATGTTTATCTTGTATTTAATTATGTTTATCCACAGTTAGTTACACGAATTTAAAAATGGAGCTTTAATAAGTTGTACTTACGCAAAATTACTTGTAATCTAAAAAATTTTAAGTAATATGCATCAATAAACAACACTTCATGCATAAAAAAAAAGTTTTTAAGAGTTTTTCTCAAATGTTTTATAATATAACTAGAAGCGTACTCGCGCAATGCAGCGAGATATATTATGATTTTAAGATTTTATTTTATTTTTTATCTCAGTCGATGTTATAATATGGCTTTATGTGATTTTGAGAAAACGATGATGTTTTTATTTTTGAATAAAATATATGTTTGAAAATATCATAAAAATTTGACAAAAATATATCGATATTAGTATCAAATTAACTATTTGAAATTCCTCATTTTTT